GCCTAAATTTTTACATAGTTATCAATCGGGTATATGCCCTATTGATTACTAATTTTTGGCTAACCTATTAGTTTAATAGTTACCAATAGGGTATATGCCCGATTTTTTAGCTTTCGACCTGTGTGATGTATTTTTATTTTTATATTTTACTTAATTTCTCACCAAGTATTAATCCTAAAAATGCGATTTTACTACCATTAGATTCACCTTGTTAAGACGATTCCAATGAGATATATTTCATCCTTTTCTGATTACTAAATCAAAAGTTAGCAAACTGCCTGATTGGTGACGGTATTTGGCGAAAATGCCAATTAGTCACCAATTAGTCACCAACCAGTTACCAATTAGCTACCTGATTGGTGACCGATTGGTGACTAATTGATGCCTGATTTTTCACTTTTTGACCTGTAAAACCTAACATTAGTAGATAGGTCAAGTTGTTCAAAAATGTAATCTGATCAAAAATTCTTGCCCAACATCTCATTTATAGATTGAGATAATGCATAATTTATAAGCTGAATGTGATGTTTAAGGTCTTATTAGCAGATTTACTATAATAACATATAATAATGCCAGTAATAATAACTACTCTTTATTAAAAATTAGGACTTTTAATATTGTTAGTGTTACCTAATACTGAGTTTTTTGTAACCACTATCTCAACAACAGAGAATCAATTCATGTAAATCCTAATTCAAGATGTTGTTTAATTCAAGTGTGTGCAGTTGGAACAGGTATTAATAATCAATCTGCAAGAACCACTTACATTAGTCATTGCCCACAAATTCTAGGTATCTAACTGGAATATATATTTTTACAATTGAGCCTACAGAGAATGCAGATTGCAGAGTATAATTTACTGGTTAATACTATATAATTATATTAATTTTATGCAATACTACAAAACTCTATAGTATAGTAACAAAATATAGTGTTTTAATTATTTTATGGTTTGTGCAGAGTTTACTTCTTCATAATTGAATTTAAATCATCTGAAATTTGACCACCAATATTACAGTATAATTAATATTTATAAATCTGTAAAAAAAATTTTCAAGTATTTCAAGAACAGTATTTTTGGATATATTCTTGGATATTTTAATATTTGTTATACTGTATAATGTGATATTTATGTATTTGAAAATTTGAGATGTATACTCAGCAAAAAATACTGTCAAATCAAATCATGCTATACTGAACTCAGCTGACACTATACTAAACTCAGCTAGGCTTTTCATTTCGCCGAAACCCATCTTATTGAATGGATATTTCGTCGAATGGATATTTTGCCGAATGATCATTTCAATGTTTCACTGAATAATTATTTATTCCATTTGGTTATTTTATTGTTTTATACTAAAATAGTCATAAAGAATTTTTTCTAGAAAAATTAAATTTATCTCGTATTAATCTTTTTTTAACTTACTTTTTCGTGAATAAATGTTTTCAGGATTATAAAATTATTTATTGCTTAGCAATTAATATCAGTTACTTGAATGTTAAAGTGATAATATCCTGGAAAAAAAAAAAGAAATCTAAAAATAATTTATTTCATTACGCGATGAATATTTTTCATAAAATGTTAATCGCTACCATCTTCGGCGAAATGGGCTATTCAGTGAAATGGATTCGATAAAATGCACTTTCGGCGAAACATTCTTTCGACGAAATGGCTTCGGTGAAATGGATTTCAGAGAAATGTACCATAACCTATTTTCACAATAAATAGTATTAAATATTAAAAAAGAAAAAAAATTATTAACTATTCAGTTATTAGAGTTTAATCAAATTATAGTACAATATAGATGATTTTTAACTGGTAAGTTGACTGTTAGTGAATTTTTTTTGACAAATTTCTTAACACAGATACTAAAATGTTAACAGTCAGCGGTCATGTCATTTGACTTGCTTTTTACTATATAAAATTTTATTTATGAATAATTATAATTATAAACAGTTCTAATATAACATGAAATTTTTTCATAAACTAAGCATTTATATCTAAGAATTATTTTGAAATCAGCTCATCTGTATAGAGTTTTTTACCTTGTCACGTAAAACCATTTCTATATTTGTTTACACCGAATCGAAGGGACGTTTCGCCGAAGGGACATTTCACCGAATGGACATTTCACCGTAAGTAAGTTTCGCTGAAGCCATTTTACCGAATGGACACTTCGCCGAATGGATATTTTGTCAAATGAACATTTCGCCGAAAAATTATTTATTCTTTATTTGATGATTTTTATTAAATTTATCTTGTTGTTTATGGATTATAAAGTTATTTAGCAATTAATATCAGTTACTTGAAAGTTGAAGTGATAATATCCTGGAAAAAATATCTCTAGAAATGATATCATTTTCGGTAAAATGGAATTCAGAGGAATGGACGATTCAGTGAAATGGATTCGGACGAAATATCCCTTCGGTGAAACGTCCCTTCGGCGAAATGGCTTCTGCGAAGCGTAATGGATTGTAACCATTTCAAGTTAATGTCAGCCCAGATTTAGCCAAAATTTAAGTACTTTGAGTCGTTAGGTTTTTTTGTTGGATTTAAAAAAAAAAAATTGCTAAAAATCTTTTTGTACCTTGTACCTTTTTATTTATAACAGCTTAAAAACACTATTATAGAGCTTGAATGTTGAGAGAAAAGGAATTAAAGGAATGTGAACTTATTTTAAGAGAATGAGAAGCAAAAATTTGTGTAATTGAATTAATTGAATTATCTAATCTTGAAAACGGAACGTGAATTAAATCAAAATTAATGTTTAATTATTAAGCTTAGAATACTATAAAATTAATAATTCAATCAGTTCTAATTAAATTAGCAGTGTAAGAAAATAAGAAAGACTACAATATAAAGTATTATTTTATAAACATAACAATATACATTATACAGTATAATAAAATAAAAAGGATGTAAATAAACATAATAAAAATAAATTTAAATTAAGCTGTTGAGTATAAGAAAATACAACCGAGTATAATATCGTCATACTATACTCAGCAAGACCTTTTTCCGGGAGTTTATTTTTATCAAAAATATAATTTATATAACTTTCCATACACCAAATGGTTTCTTGCTTTTCTCAAATTAATAAATATTATTTATTTAATAGAAATCATTATGAAAAATAATTTAGGAATAAAAAATTAAAATAAAAAATTAAATAACTGAAAATAATTAATGGCTATTATAATATTAATTAATATAAATAAAAGAATTGATAAATTAAGTGTACGATTATGCCCTAGAGTTAAATGCGTGGAGCTCAACAATAATTACGGATAGTATCTTAGGCCCTATTAGAGAATAATTGAATTATGTTCTTGGTGGTTGTTATTTTCGCGAAGCTGAAGCTGGGATATAGGCTATTTTCCCTCATGTTCGATACTTACGACGTCCTGTTTGTTATTAAAAAATAAATAAAAATTAATATTTTCAAAAAAAAAGTGTGGTTAATAAATGCCACTGCGTTAATGAATTAATGAATATACTTACGCTGCAGCCTATTTATTAAATAAAAATTAACAATTAGCAGTTAATATCTTTCAAAAATAAGTGTAAACATAATAATAAAGATACAAACTATTTATTATTTAAAGTAAAAAGGAAAATTAACGATTAGTATTCTCAAAAACATGCTGTATATCAATAATAAAGATAGCGAAGATACTTACCACCTATTTAAAATAAAATAAAAAATTATTCAGTTAGCAGTGAGTGTTTTTCAAAAACAAGCGCTACCATAATAATAACGGTTATGAAGATACTTACATACTGTTTGTTATTTAAGCGATAGAAGAAAAATTGCATTTATTAATATTTTTTAAGAACAATAACATTGTATATAATAATAATGATAACACTTACCTTCTATTATTTATTTAAAATAAAAGAGAAGATAAAAAAGTTAATATTTTTTTAAAAAACAATAACATCGATAATGTCAACACTTACCCGCGCCTATTTATATACATATATATATATTAAAAAAAGAGGGTTAAATTTAAATATTTTAAAAACATAATACAGTAATAACTGTTATGAAGCCGATACTTACAGCCTATTTATTTTTTTAAGTAAAATTTATTAGTTAGTATTTAAAAAAATAGGTACCATAAAATAACTACAACAATGAATACTTACAGTCTATGTATTATTTAAAATTAAGTAAAAGGAAAATTAAAGTTTGATATTTTCAGTTAACAATGATTCGCGAACTTTTAAGGTTTGATAATAGTAATACTTACAATCACCTATTTATTAATTAAGATGAAATAAAAAGGTAACATTTAATTATTTTAATAATCATAATGAAGTTACTTACAGTCTTTTTCAGCAACTGGTAACGCTAAAGCGGCAACAGAGAAGATAATCAAAAAGAGAAGGAAGATATTGAATTTCATTATGTCTTTTGGTAGGTTCACTTTTTTCTTATAGAGAAATTTCTTGATTTTTTCAAATCGTTAGTTAACCTAGTTTAATAATAAAATTTTTTTTTTGAAAAAGTGTTGTAACTCGAACGCGTATTTATATTATATTACGGGAGGTCATTATTAAATCACTTGACTAATTATATATATAATAAAGAACAAATAATTTAACTAGATAATGTAATTTTATATAATAAAGGGATAGATAATTTGAAGTCTAAAAACTCTAAAAAAAATAGAGAAATCATTATCATAACTCATAAGCTACACTTAGTGCGATGGGTTATAACATCCTAAATTTCACTTGATGACATTGGGATTCAAATCATTTCATCGACAAACGTTTATAATAAACTGTAATTTTTAATTTTTAAATTAAATATTTTTTTTTTTTTAAAAAAAAAGTAATTTATTATATCTTTCGTACAAAAATAATTAATATTGTTCTAATTTAGCAATTATAATCAATTTTTTTTATTGCAAAATGATGTGATTGTTGGTGAGATTAACCAGACCTTTTTACCGAAAATTATCTCAAAACTTACTGACAATGATTTTCCTGATAAGATTTCGACCATTTCACCGACAGGGTTTGGTGGGTTATTTCATCGACAAATACTTTTAATTTTTATTACTCAATATATTATTTCCTAATATAATAATCACTAAATACAAAAATTTGATGTTAATGTATTATGAATAATTTCATATCATATAAACACTAAATGTATGCCATTTAAAATAATTTATGGGTACGAAACTACGAATAAAAAAGAAAAAATATATATTAATAATTGTAACTATTATTAGAGCTTACCTTCAAATTACAGTACAATATAAAATTCGGTGAAATAATTTTAGGTGAAATGAACTTTGAGAAGGTGCGCATTCAAGTTTACTACACCAATGGCAAAGTTTATTGGTGTTGGCAGGCAATCCCCATTGTAAATTCATCCTTGAAAACTAATAGTCATTTCCATGGCAACTCAGATCAGGTAAAGGTGATATATGCTTACCATTTGGGTTTATAGGAATTAAGAGATAGGGCCTTTTAGGTATAACTTCTTGCAAAATAAGAGTTTCTGATGATTAATATATATACTATAATCAGTGTTATCTATATCTGCCATTCAGTGATTCTTCACGAACTAACCTAGACCTAACTAATACTAATCCTACCTTAATATAAATCTAATACTAATATTAACCTAATAATAACCCTAATCCTAACCCTAACCATAATTCTAACCCTAACTCTAACCCTAATAATAAACTTTAATTTCTATGTCTGATTTAAATTTTAATTACGGAAATTATAAAGATTTTATCAAACGGTTTAAAAGAAATGATAAATGGATTATATTTTATAAAAAAAATATAGCTTTTTTGTAAGTTTTGAGAAATTATGACTTTATATTAATTTATTGAAATTTAAATTTAAAATCTTTTCTTTTAGCTTTTAGTTAAACATTGTAGTGCCTGAAGTTTTTTAGCTTCTAAAATGAAAGATATAATGTATCATTTTTAAAGAATTTAACCTTCCTACAATCCCTACAGTAAGTATAACATTAAAAGAAAGCAAAATCTGGAAATAGAAGGAAAGCATGGCTGTGAAAATTTGTTATAAAAATTTATTTAAAAAAATTAATAATTCTACATATGTCTAGGATACTGCAACTCCTAAAAGGAAAAAAGCATTTATCAAAGATTCAGATTGCATACACAATAAGTATTTGTGAAAGACTATTAAACTCACAGAATTTACATATGTAGGTTACCAAATCAGTCATAAAACCCATTTTGATGAAGAATTTGGTAAGCATTAGAAATTTGAATAAATAGTAATGGTAAAAAACTAATTTTAGTGCAATATATATAATTTGTAGTTATTCCAGTGTACTCTTAAAGTATTCTTCTAAATGGACCATGAATATGAGCACCATATTTCTGGTGTTTCATTATCATGCTTATGTCTTAAAAGGGCTAATGATTTTCCTATTCTTTCATATAATTCATCATGATCAAGTGAACAAAGCTTAAAGTAGGCATTACTATCTAAATCCATCTTTTACAAGTTGTTTGTTAACGAATTATAGTGAATTTAGCACTTTATAGTGAATTAAACAATTTATAGCTATTTAGTTGGTTATATATCAACTTATTATAGAAAATGGAGAAAAATCACACAGTGATCATCAGTTTTACGTGACCTTTGCCGTGTACAAACCGCGGCTCACTTGATTAAAAAATCACTAACCCAATATGGGCAAACTAATTGTAAAATAATTCTGTTAAATGATTGTATTACAATGTATTGCGCAATATTTTCCGATGCATATGCATATTTAGAAAGGCTCAAAGATTACATTAATATATATACACAAGTTAATCATATAAGCGAAACGTCTTATTATTCCATACACGCTAATCCTTATATATATCTTTTAAAATACGTATCCGCCTTACACGTTGTTCACAATCTGCATATTGTTTAAGGATGACAGATGTGCGCCCTTTTCTATGTAATCTTGATGCTTTTACTGCCAAGTCATTCCGAATAGTTTCAATATGATTGAGTGTTAACTATATAAGGGAAAAAATTAATTAACAAAAAGTATCTTTCCAGACAAATGAAATCGGTATGCCTAACTGTCATAAAGTAGCGGTGAAATAGAAGACAAACCTCAATTCGTAACAATGTTACGACTAATTTCTCAATCATGAGTAATTGTGCATTTGATTGTGGTAACTTTGTTTTTTTAAGTAAGCCTAGCCTCCACAAACCTCTCGATTTCCAATCCATGGCATAGACGTTATAAAAAAAGCCTAACAAGTAATATAAATTTGAATAGATGATCCAACAATTGATGATGTGCTTTTCCTGAAAATCTTACCATACGAGTGGACTCCAATTGTATATAATTGTTTGAAATCTGTACACTCCACTCCATTATTATCGATTGCTTCGTGCAATAATACGTCGCGCATTGCAACCATCAAATCAATCTTATCGCTCAACTTCTTTGATTTACAGGCCTCTGGCAATCCCCCAGATCGTAACCCAATAACCATTTCAAATCCGTCACATGTAACCCTAAAGTCGCATTTTTGTCCTATCAGAGACCTGTCTGTTGGTTTCTTCGTTGAATTTGTAATGAATGCAGATGCAATACTTTGTATCTCTCCTCTAAAAAATCATGTCAAAATATTTTATTATTAACAAATAGAATATAGTTTGGTGAAACCGGGAATTTCAATATCCTTACTCATCGTATATAAACTTCTGGTGATACGTCAGGATGCCTTTAGTTATCATGTTCGTAAAATTATTGGAGAACATAGCCTCTGGGATCGAGGTTTGTAATCTTTCCAGATTATAAGCGCTTCCATATAGTAAACATCAAAAGTTAATTAAATGTTATCTAACATGAAATAGAGATGATGAACTTACTAGGCTTGGATTAGTCTTCGTATAGAGTTGATCTTTGAATTTCCCTTCAATCAAGCAAATAGTGGTGGACATGAAAATTAAAGTTCAGAAATTTAAAGTCATGATAGTAATAAAATCGATGTCATACCTCAATTGTACATTTTTCTATCGCTGTGATTAGATCATCTGGCTTCTTTCTTATTACCTTAATGAATTCACAAGTCAGCCAATCATCAAACAAGTAAAATGAAGATGTGAGCGCTTGTTACCTCTTGGATTTTATCAAATAAGTCGTACAACGTTTCTTCTTGAGATCGCCGTTTTGCTTCATTACTAGTGGTAGTATTATTTCCTCTACTGCTGTTATTAGTCCCTTCCGGCTTATTATTGACTTCTTTTATATTTTTAAATTCCACTGTTTTGCTAAAATCATTTTTCATTTCTGACCATTCATTGTCGGTAAACAGTTTCTTGACTTCTGTATCTTCCCCAGATAAATCAAGTATTCCAAAAAATGCAGGACTGGCAAATAAACATTGAGATGTGTGATGTTAGAAAAAATTTTGCAATCGGGTTACTAAAATAAATGCTCACTATAGGTAAGCCTTTGATTTTGGAATTGTTAATCTATAGTTCTCCAAAACTTGAGAGACGTTTTTCCCTGTCGAGAGAATCCACGCATTAAATAGAGAACTTTCAACTTGTACAGCTTCCGGTTGAGAAATTTCTTCAGTTTCACTCTATTTGAAATAACAAAAAGAGTCAGCCCTCCAAAGCATGTTTGATCTAACGACCAGTAAGATCTAATTAGCCAATAAAGTATGTAAAAAGAAGATATGTTTTACCTCTTCAATCGAGAAATTCATAGCCTTGACATCTGAAATTTCATCATCATAGTCATATACTTCTTCGTCTTCGTGATCTTTGAACTTGTAAGTTGTAAGAGATAAGTTAGAATAAGTGGTGTTGATAGCATATTACGGTGCACCATAAAAAGCAATATGGATTAAGTACAAACCGGTTCAGATGGTACATCTTCTTCAAGGCGAATTCGTTTTTCACTAGACGATGAGGCTACTTCATTATCTTCTCCTATTCTTTTTTTGTCCGATGTGTTTCGCAAGAATTCAGAAAATTTACGTTCTGAGAATACTGTTGAATCGAGTATCCGAATTCTCTCGGCAATCTGCTTGTCAAGGTGCCGTTGATAGAATTCATTATATAAATCCTCACATTTTTTTCTTACTTCAGAACCTTCAAAGGTATTGCAAATGTCAAGAAGATCCTTGCAAAATACAGTTATACAACCCGGAAATTTTTTAATAGTATTCTGTGCAATACGCTTTAGAGACGTTTGCCAATCGCAGTAGACAGTGGACCATGGTAAAATTATTTCATCGGTTTTCAGACGAAAGCCTAAATAATGTTTTAACTGCCAGAATCGCGCTTCTACCATCTTAAAGTAAACGTAAGTATTTGTTTCATTATTTGCTTTAAAATCTAAGTATGTTTTAGTTCTAAGTACTGCAGTCATAATTCGCAATTCGCAATTCGCTTGAAATTCCGTAACAGGTAACGCGTTTTTCGCGAGCTGACGCGATTTTGTATGATCATCTGAATGATCTGAATCATCTGATAGGTCATGTTACACCGATTTTATTGAAAAATAGACAATTTCATTAATTTCATTGTTGGTTGTTAAAAATAATGAGGGTACAACTATGCTGAAGTTCGAGGACTTCCCTTGATATATTTATTAAGGAGACGCCTTACTTCATGTCTGCTCCAGGCAATTGGCGGTGAAGTTATGAGTTGCTTGGCGACTAACAACTGTCCGTGACTGCTCCAGGCAATTGGCGGCGGCAGTTGATCTGCTGACTTTGCTGAAGTTTCTCGTGTCTGCTCCAGGCAATTGGCGGCGAGGACTTCCCTTGATATATTTATTAAGGAGACGCCTTGCTTCATGTCTGCTCCAGGCAATTGGCGGTGAAGTTATGAGTTAGTAGATATTCAAGTTATTTCTTGATGGTCACCAGCCTCATTGATCATTCAATAGCACAAACGGCGTTAAAATTTCGAAATCCTACTTTATTATTAAGATAAAAAAGCCAGCTAAGTGATAATACATAATGAAATAAGCGAAATAATGATGCTATCAAAGAGGGAGGGAGTACGCGGATCCTAGGCCATTTAATGCGAGTCCTAGGCATCAAGTTATTTCTTTGCTCTCTCCCGATTTTGAAAAATATCTATAACTAATTTGTTCCTATCGTTATTAACTACAAGATTCTCACCCATACTCTTTTTCTACAATAGATCTCCGTAATAAATCATTCCACCCATATTTACAGAATTTCCGTCTATCTATATCACCCCACCCAGAGGCGGGAAGATCGATTAACATCGTGATGACACGCTTCAAGAATCTACCCGAGCAATAAACCAACTTACTTTATTATTACTTTACGGAATATACGTTTGATCGTTAATATCAATGATTTTAATAATAGTAAGTTTGATTGGTTTGAATTTTTCGCTTAACTTGCGCAATGTGGATAAAAACAAGACATCACCTATTTATAAAGTTTACAGGATTGGTCTTGGAATACACTTTGGGGAAAATTACGTTAATATGAATGCATCACAAAAATCTGATCAACAGCTTCTCCTTAATTTAACAATAAAAAATTTAACGCTATTCATAATCCATATGTAAAGATAATCAGGGGCTATACATAATTTTGAGAATGTGCAAGAAAGTTTGAGAATAAATTATTTTGCACAATTACTTGTTCTCATGATATTAAATTACTATAATATTACTGCACATGTATTTATCAAGCTACAATAAAACTTGTTCGAAAAATAATAATATCAACTTGTTTCACACAATTCCACAATCCATTCCATGCAAAAAAAAATTATAAAATGTCTGGTAAATTTGCACTATTGTTTTATTGATCAAATTATCCAAGAACATTCACATCGCTTATATATTTCTTCCACCACCTTCTTACACCTTTTGCAATACGGATGTGAGTGATGATTGCACTCCTCACAAACCTTACATCCATGCTTCCATCCTCTAAATATATACCATTTTTCAATATAGTTCTGCCCTCCCTTGATCTGTCAATCTGTGGGAGATGACTTACCTTAATAGCTTTTCCCAATAGTATATCTATTGGTTTTCTTTTTTTCAAATGTATATGAGGAAAAAAAAATAATAAATTTTTCATGTAAGCTGAAATGAGTAACATGCTATATTATATGATAAATCATGAAGATTCTTCACACTTCCAGCTAATAGAAGTAGAATCTATTGGCTAATCATATAATATATGTATAATTTCCAACTAATAGATACAGGATTTATTGGCTAATAAAGAGTAGATCTACTGATATATAATCAATCAATCTGCAAGGTAAGAAAGATAATTCACAAAAGAATCTATATTCCATAATTTTAACCATGAATAGAAAGACTGGCAAGAATTTCTCTGATATTATACTGCACATATCAGATGATTAGCCCATATGACCAGTCTATACTACAATTGCAAACTTGAGTTTATTGCTTGATATTCCATTTCATTTTTATACCATTCACTATGTAATTCATAATTTCCATATTTTCCATCACAAATAGGGTATAGTGAGCTTTATAGCTGAACAGATACAAAATTATAATTATCAGTTTTCTAAAACTATTTAGGAATTTCAGGTATGTAAAATGCTCTAAAACAGATTTGATAATTAATTTTAAATCAGTTTTGACTTTGAAGGTAATAGGCTTAAAATCAGAGATTTAAGGTTTTTTTTGATATTTTTATTTTATTTTATCTATTTTATATTATTTCTAAAAGAGGAATGAACATCATCTGTTACATTAACAACATGTATAGTCTATGTTACTATCAGCTATTCTATTCAGGTAAGTAAAACTACATTTCTTATTTCACAAAAGTAAAATCCCATCCTTTGATCAAAGATTTATGATGTTCTTTAAGAATACTTCAGGAACTTCAAATTTACCTTTTAATCTCATCTCATTTTTGGTAAATAATGCATTAGTTTGCCAAATACTACTACAATCTTCACATTATTATAAAATTAGAGTTAACCATAATGTACTTATAATTCTATCAAATTGATAGATCACCATATGGTGGTTGGTAGTTCCACTCCTACTATTATAACTCCAAAAGGCTATTTAAGTACCAAAATACTATAGGATCTTTATAAACCATTTGGTAACAGTTTTTCATCACATTCTGAACAAATTATGCATCAAAGTAATAGTTTCAACTTGAGTCAGTGACCATTTATAAGACTCATCTAGAGATCCTGGGCAAAACCGAAATATTTAGTCATTTGACTAAACTGAAATAGTTTAGACATTTAAAATTAAAAGACGAAATGCCAAAATTCAATATTCTATAGTATTTCCATAGATTTTTTATAGATTTCCATGGATTTTTAATTATAATAATTACTTATAAAAAAAAAATAAATAAATTTATATTAAAATATAATATTTTTTAAAGAAATTTATAAAACTATTATATGTATAATATAATTTCATATATTTTTATAATAAAACTATAATTTTATATAATTAAAATTTAAACTTAAAAATTATTACTATATAGTTTAGTCAATGATGAAACCGAAACTAGTTGGTGACGAAACTGAAATTTTTGGCAAAAAGAGTTTAGCCAGATATCATTAGATTCATCATACCAGTTTACTAATGATCACATTTATTATCTTACCATCAATAAGTATAGTGTTTTTAACAGATTAATTTGATCAAATTAATAATACAGTATAACTTAAATTAATCATAAAAAAAAAATATTTTTGTAAATATCTTATAATCTAGTAGTCCAATTAAAGCTTTGCAACTTAATTTGATAGATTAGATGACCTACACTGGTCAAAAACCAATATATCGGGTACATATCTGATACATATCTGCTACCCGATATATTGGTTTTTGACCAGTGCTAACAGGTTGACTTAAAATATTCAGGTCAGGTCATCAAATTCATAACCTGACATAAATCAGGTTAGCTAGTGCTAATCAGTACCTGACCTGACCTATTAACTTGACATATATTCAAATCAAATAAATAAAAAAATGCTAAAACTAATAGTTTTAGCATTTATATATATAAAATCAAAAAAAAAAAAATACCAGAACTAATGATTCTGACATTTTTACATGTAAAATCAAAAAAAAATGCCAAAACTAATAGTTTCAGTATTTTTATATATTTAATTAAAAAGAAAAACACTGTAACTAATAATTCTGGCATTTTTACATGTAAAATTAAAAAAAATGCCAAAATTATTAGTTTTAGCATTTTTGCATGTAAAATTAAAAAGAAAACCACTAAAACTAATAGTTTTAGTATTTTATATATATAAACAAAGAGTAAAATACCAGAATTATTAATGATTCTGGCATTTTTATATATAAAATTGAAAAAAAAATCATTTTTTTTTTAATTAAAAATATTGAACCTAATATTTTTTCAAAAAAAATAGTTTTTTTAATTAAAAATGTCAAGTTCAACATTTTTTGTCACAGGTCAAAAAGTGAAAAATCAGGCATCAATCAGGCACCAATCAGGCACCAATCGGTCACCAATCAGTCACCAATCAGCTACCTGATTGGTGACCGATTGGTGCCTGATTTTTCACTTTTCGACCTGTGTGTTAAGGTTGCTTGCCGAAACCTAGGGGTTTAGGCAAGATGGCGTTTCGCCGAAAAGCAAAATTCTGCCGAAACTATATTAAAGTTATATTAAAAAACTGGCGAAACTTTGGAGAAAGGCAAAACTGCCGAAACTTATTATAAATGCCGAAACTGCCGAAACTCTGCCAAAACTATAATAAATCTATAGTAAAATTTTGATGAAACTAATCGTAGGATTTTGAAGAGGTTTAGACAAGCAACCTTACTGTGTGTATAATTAATAAAAAAAAATATTACAAAACGTTTTTTTACTTGAAATATTTAATAATAAAATTTTGGGTAATCAAGTTATTTGAGTTACCTGAAGTGATCTGTATATATGTCACCTAAATTATTTTGGGCTGCCATAATTATAAGTAAAATCCCAAATTCAATTATAGCATTCCAAATTATTTTGGCACTTTATATAGTAAATTATATATAAACTAAATGAATTACAGTATCTCATATTATAATTATGACATCCTAAAATAATTTGGGCAGCATGTATATTGTATAGTAATCCAAATACTTTCAGGTCAAATGGGTCAGGTTGGATCAAAATGATTTACCTAACCTAACCTAATCTGAAAAAAAATTTCAGTTCAGGTTAATCAAGTAACTTGATCTAATCTGACCTGTGCAGAGCTTTAAGTCCAATTTTAATAAACTTTTTTTTATTGTAATCAGCTTTAATATAAAACAAAAAAAAATTATTAAAATCTAATTACTAGATTACAAGATAATATTTTTTAGATTTAATTCAAACCAAATCAGATTTAGATTAGATTACTAAAATCCTAATCTGATCTGAATTTTTAAAAGCATTAGGTAGGTATTATTTTAGCTTCCCTTATGGGTACAGAATTTTTAATACAGTTGGTAGTTA